CCCCGCCCTATAGGGAAAACCTCACAAAAAAAAAAAAAAAAAAAAAAAGCCAGAAGGCGCCTTCAGGAGGACTGGGACTACAGTGAGATTCCAACTAAACATTCCAGAATGTTCTGGTAAAGACATTCTGGGAAGTGGAGAAAGCCCAGCCCAGCGGAGCCAGTCTGAAATGTAGAACTTGTATAAAAGCAATGTCCTTTTATTTTCTCTCCTTTTTTCTTTTAATTAATTAATTAATTAATTTGCCATAAGGCATGTGCATTCACCAGAGAGAGAAAGAGAGAGGGAAAGTGAGAAGGCACCTCTGGGAGATGGCCACACCGCAGCCCCTTCTCCATTCTCCCCTCGGGATTTTGAGCATGCACACAGATGCACCTGGTATGGTTTTCAAACTGCCGAGTCTGGGACTGGAACTGCTGTAGGCCGTGTGGGAGACCAGTGCCTCAGCCACCACACCACCCACTGACACCAGGTTACTTCTCAGTGGCATGCCCCGCACATAGTGGGCTGTGAGCAGACAAGGCGGTGACTGCACTTTTGTCGATCTTTGAGTGGACCGTGGTGCAGCTGTCTCCGGACAGCTCTGTGGAGCCCTGTGCCGGGGGAGTGGAGCTGCAGGGGGGGGCACAGCTGTCCCTACCAGGCTGGCGACTTCAGAGTCACATGTAGGCTATGTTTATCTGAAGGTAAGGACAAGTGCGGGGCCACCCCTCCCTGAGGTGTCCTTTGTGGGGTCTGAGTGACGAGGGGAGGCTGCAGAGCCTTCCTACCCAGCCTTCCTTGGAGGCAGTCCTGAGCCAGCGTCCCTGAGCCCCGTCAGCGCTTCACCAGTGCCTGCTCCAGGCCGTCCTCTCAGAAGCCAGGGTCAACAGTCTTCCCAGAATTCCTGCTACCCGGTGGGGCCTGAGATCAGCACGTAGCCAGCCCCACTGTGAGTGACCTCTGACCTGTCTACCCCAAAGTGGAGACGAGACAAGATGGGGGCAAACAGCGCAAAACTGCACCGCCTTGCATGGGCATCTGGGGCTTCCTCCACAAGCTGGGCAAGGTGGGTGTCCTCGGCTTGTGGTCACAGGGATGGCTGGGGACGCTGCATGGGACTTCCCGGAGCTGCCTTTCCCCCACCTGCCCAGCCGGCATGTGCTGTCCAGGGAGACCCATGGGCTTGGCCTGCCCCTCGCAGCGAGCCGTGGGGCAGGCTGCAGGAGGGCAGGTGATGAGGGTGGACGCAGGGGCCTCCCCTACAGCCTCCCAGCCGGGCTGTGCTGGGGAGCCAGGCCATTGCCCGCTGACCCAAGGCTGTAGCCCAACCGCAGCACCACGCAGGAGGTGCCACCACGCAGGAGGCTGGAGTGCGAATGGCAGGCCTGGTTCAGTTCCCAGACAAGGCCCTGTCAGAGATGCCTCTCTCTGTCTCTGTCTCTTGGAGGGCAGAGATCAGAGGGTGAAGGATGGAAAGCACACAAGGAGGACGTGACGTGAGAAAAACTGTGACAGTCTGGGGTCCAGGGCTCACGGGTCTGTCTTTCCCTGACAGCTGTGCAGAAGTGCTCGAGGCAGCCCGTGGCCAGCACGCCCTTGCCCGGATCTGGGGGTCCCCACACAGTGTCAGTGGTGCCGGAGGGGAGGCTGCTGCTGGAGGTGAGTCGGTGTGTCATGTGGGCCTCAGCACCAGGCTGCGGGCTACAGGCTGCTCACGGACAGTGCTCTAAGGACACCCTGTGGCCACACTGGCCAAGCCGCATGGCCCTCAGGGCTGCAGAGGGACCCCCGACCTCACGCTCTGTGCCCCCATCTGCAGAACCCGGTCCTGCTCTCGCATCTCACTTGGGCCCGGGGGAAAACTGAGCCGTCCCTGAGGGGTGACCCTGCAGGGTTTCGCCAAGCTTTGCGGGTAAGATCTCGGCAGGGTCTGGCCAGCGAGCAGGCAGCAGGTCGGGGCTGCTGGAGGTCGGCCTCACCCTCCGACCCAACCCCAGGTATCTCTGAAGTGCCACTTTCCCTCGCCAGCTGGGGGAGAGGGTAACAGACAGAGCCAAGACGCTGGCAGGGAACCTGGTACTGTCTCCAAGACGGGGAGGAGGCTGCCTTCCCAGGGAGGGGCTTTGTCCCTTCCCAGGAGGGAAGGGGGATAGAGTTCAGAACTTCCATGGCAGCAGGGTGGGGCCCAGACCCTGGCTGAGGAGGGACAGGAGGGCCCCAGACGAGAAGGGCAGGGCAGAGGAGTAGGTGGCCGGCTGTCATGGCCGGCAACCTAGAAGCTACAGGTGCCCGGGCTCCTGCTGTGGGTCCTGTCCCCAGGTGAAGCCAAAGCCTGCACATTCTCACCTCCCCATGCCTCGGCATT